AATACTAAAATTTGAATTATAATCTACAGTTTGATACCAAACTTATTGGCATACATTCTTAAAACAGTAGTTGAATAAAATTTTGAATGCGAGTCAACAAACGTGATGACATGTCCTTTGACCCATGTGGAAAGGGTTAAATAATAGTTATAAATTTCTGAAAAAATGGGGGTATATGCCCCTTGACTCCTCTCCTAGATTCCCACCAGCTTATACAACACAAAATAATATAGTTATACAATTATAAATTAGAAACATTACACAATATAAAAAAAACAGTATATTTACACTATATTTAACATTAAGTAGCCAGAGTTAGTTGGCAGTGGGTGTTGCCAGCCGGTTGCCTTCTCTCTGTTTTAACAGTTCAAAATCAGCAACAGCAGCATTATGACCTTCATAACTTTGCAATAAGAAAGACAGGGCAAGTAAGTTTATGGCAATGGGAATCAAATCCCAGGTCCTCATCATTCCACTTTGCACTTAACAACAAACATAATGGCAATATTCCAATTACTTGGACAGTTGGAATAATCAAAAAGTCTTTTTAATTTTGTGACAATTGATTCAATCATAATTTTGATTAATCGATTGTTGAAATAATCAAAAACTAATTTCAATTAGTTAATTCTTTGTGTGGCATTGACCATGGCATATCTTAGCAACTGCTAACATTAGACGAAAGTCATGTTGCCACACAAAATACCATGTTGACTGTGGTGTGCAAAGTGATGCATCATGATATTCAAACAGTAGCTGATATGTGAAAACTGTCCAGCATGATGCACATATCATCTCAGCATTCATCTCTCAATGCAATTATTACCTTTTATGTAGTTGCCACTGTATTTCCATCTTTCATAGGTTAAATTTAGATATAACTAACCAATCATGTTGTAGAAATAGACAGTGAAAACGTGTCCTAGAAACAATGAAAAGAACCAGATACATCCTTGTGGATAGCATAGTGGGTTACGGATCCAAGATTCAAGCACACAGTATACTGCTGAACATGTTCCATACTTTCAGCTGTGGGAATGTTTCAAAAATGATGGTCAATTCTACTATTCAATTAGGAATAATCATGTAGGTGGTTCATGCTGCTGACAGATTTTAAAGTAGCCTTCATTCTAGTCAGTAGTTCTAAATTAGGGTTAGCTATGCTTAAACCTCAGGGTCTTTGACTTGGATGGTTAACTCATGTTGAATATGATACTATTCAGGTTGAAAATACAATTACACACAGAAACTTTCAGATTATCTTACACTCAGAATCATCCACAATTTTTGGTAGTACATATATAGTTATGGAATAGATATAATTTCACAAACAAATTAAAGAAACAAATTCTTAACAAGAAATTTAATATTAATTTCTGTTATATCTTTATATTCATAAATATGACTGTATTATGCCTACATGTACATACTGAGACAGGAATCATAATTATGGGACAGTTTTTATAGCCATTTTTAGAAAAATATATTATTTTTAATAAAATACAAAAGAAACAATATTATTAACTGTTACATACCTGAAGAAATTCCTGGGCAAGATCTTCCATTTCAGAATTACTGAGGTGACAGATTTCATCCCAGTACATGTGCAGCAAAGAGGCTCCACCATTTGGATCAGTTTCTTTCCTTATGTATTTACCATATTTTAGATGTTCAAAGTCTGAGGAGGGTAACAATCGGGATATCTTTTGTGAGAGCTCTATCTCTTTGATAGGTTTTGAATCAGCTATACGATAACATAATTTCACAGGTAATTCCTGCTTACACTGGACACCAACATGCTCACAACAGGGAATTTTCTTGTTACATCGACCACAGATATTTTTTGCTTTATATTTACCCGCCACTGCCATCTTCCCTTCTGGTGGAATACTTTTTTCTTTAGATTTCTCAACAGATTTTATTCCTATCTTTCTATGAGATATATTATCACTACCTTGCTCTACTGAATGAGTGTTGTTTTGTGTAGATGATGTTGGTGTGTGTTTAGTTTGACTTGTCCTTGATTCAAGCATATTTCTCACTACACCACTGTTCGTTATGACATTGTGATTGTAAGGCTGTTCTTTTGATACAGGGCACTTTGGATTTGCTTCCATGGAAACTTTGACATCATTGACCTTACACTTAATTTTTTTGGTGATGACTTTTTCCTTTTCTTTGTTAGATTTGGAATACTTTCTATGTAGCATCTTCTTGTCACATACAGCATAATCTGTTTTTTTTCTATCTTGTTTTCCAATATATAAAGTTTCCTGAGGCTTAAAATCTCCAGAGCTACTAGCAATAGAAGTTTCCTTCTTTTTCCAGGTTTCTGTTGACAAATCTTTATTTCTTTCTTCCTCAGATAACTTCTTCCAAGCACTGCTAGCTTGTACAATTTCAGATTTTTTGCAATTCTGTGGGCTTACAGGGAAAGGTATCTTAGTATCAGTGAATGGAACAGTTCTTTTACAGATTCCAGGGTCATCACAAGTAACATTGATAGTACAGTTTGGTTCTTTGACACTTTGTTTTTGTTGTTGTTCTTTGTTTCTGTAATTATACCTCATGTCATCTGGGCTTACAAAATATCTTTGTGTAATGAAATGTTTGTCTTCTACTAAAGTGTTTGCTTTCAGCCTATCCATTTCATTCCAACCCATTTTCTTGAATGACAATTGACCACTATCACTTGGATGCAGTTCATGCAAATTTTCAGATAATTCTGTCTGTGATTCTTGTTTAATTAGATCCTGTTCAATAACTGTTCTTTGATAAACTTCTCCAGGATTTTGCTTAAGTTGTGTCCCTTTAAAGTGGCTTGTACTAGAAACACTGCTGCCCTGAATATCATCCTCAAGTCGGTGAAACCTGCAGTAAGATGACAGGTGGACAATTTTACCACAACATATTTGATGGGCATCCTTAGCATAAAACTGGACATCATTAGGATTTTTCAAACTATTGGAAGGTTTGAATTCATTAGTCTCCAACTCTTTCTTAGAAGAATATTTTGGAATTGAGTACTTTGAGTGATCAACTTTTTTATCACATTTTTGCCTCTTTTTCTCTAAATACGACTTCTTTGTAGTTGTTTCATCTGTTGTTTTGTGTTTCTTCTTCTTCTTTTTCATGCCATGTTCATATCTTCGTGCTTCTCTCTTAGTTTTATTTCCTGCCAATAACAACATGCAGATCTTTGGAAAAACAAGCTCATTCTTAAATAAAATAAATAACCTAAAACAAGTGCTGAGCACATTTCAGTAAAATGAATAATGCACCCAAACTAACAGTTTAAATAAATACTAACATAGATCCTCAAATTGATACCATAACAAATTATGTCATATACCACTTCCTCATATTCAATAATATTAAGCAATTAGTTACATTATATTCTATCAATTACTTCATATTTATTATTAATGTTATTTCTTTGTTGAAGTCTTATTATTGTAATCTTCCTTGTATATTATTATTGTTTAGTCATTTTTTGCAAGTTATTATTGTTAACTTATTATTTTGGACTGCTTGCTCTGTAAATGGACCATACATATTGGAGTTATTTTTCTTTTTATTACATGTGACAAGGTTATTTTAAATAAATAATTAACACTTTTACTGCACTATTTTCTTATTCAATTAATTCACTTTTCATCTTCATCAATCTTACCTTTTTACTGTACTATCTACACCATCCTCCTATAGTTGAAGACAGTTTAAACAGTAATGTGATGTAGTAACTTATATCAGATGTCAAGCTACCCTAAAATTGCACTGTCAGAGACATTTAACGGGCTTTAATTAGTCACTAGTCATTGTTAGGGAGGATTATTTAAAGTTCTGCCTACACCAGTGTCACACTTTTTAGGGAAGGGTGGGAAATCAATGATAGTGCATAAAACAAACTAGTTTTTATGTTTTACGAGTTATTTTGTATTTTTTCTTTAGTGTTATTTTCATCAACAGTATTGATACATATATTAAAGCTTGCTGAAGTGATTAAAAAAGTAAGAACTTTTTCAATGACCCCCATTTTTCAGTACTTGATACTTACCTATACATTGGGAACTATTCCCCCAAATATAAGGGATCATTTCAAAACATATCCTATGATGCCTCAAATTAACAATTCCTTCCTTAGCCTTGCACTAATGGCTTTAAACTTGGATAAGCACCACTTTTATTCCCAAGGATATTTTTAAAGAAATCAATCAGATTTACTGCTTACAAATCAAGTAGCAACTGTTTATACAATTTAGCTTTAACTGGTTAGTTGGTGATGACTCAATACATGGTTATTTTCACTTATTAACTCGGTGTCAGTGCTAGATGCTCTCCTCTTTGCCATTAGCAAATTAAAGTGCCTGTTATATGGCATGGAGATAATGGGAATCTGTAAAACTACACTGAATCATTACTACATATATCTTCTGTTTCTCTTCTTTTACCTCTGCTGATTGCCATTTTATAACCTGCACTTATATCTTATTGTATGAAAGTAAATAACACAGATTACATCATGATGAACTTGCTATTTAACTGACTGGAAGCATCTCTCTGCAGGATATTATTTATCGTAGCTATCACATCTTGCCTGGTATTTTAATTACACTGTTAATACACAGAACAGTCCTTTTGGTAGTGCTAGTGTTTCTACCTTATTGGTAGAGATCCAGTTACGAGTTGATAATGACCTATTTGAATAAACTGTTTACATTTCGTTGACCTACACCATGATACAGAAATATTTACTCATTCGATGTATGCCATGTGCACGGGCAATGCATGTTTACTAAGTACAAGATGAAAAAATGTTTCAAAAACTTCAACACTTTCAAAACAGAATGTTACATACAATTCACCATCTATCTTAGTGACCAATAAATGTAAGTACTGGCTATATTTATGCCATTACTGCTTTGTATGTACAATAATGTATTTTTTTACTATTTTTGAGTCTTGACAACAAGCAAGCACTACATAATAATAGCCATCATTGTTTAAATTATGCCATTATTAAATAACTATCAATGGTTGGGTTACAGAATTTTGAACCACAGACTAGGATTATTTACTGTAAAGTACAAGGCTATACTATATGTTTTCTACCCCTTCATGTTGTTTTCACAGTTCACCAAGTGGATGCACAGAGGACTCAACTTTCACTTGCTTTTAGGGGCAGACTGAGCTAAATGAGGATTAGGTGCCAGCTTATCTGATTTTCTTATAGGAATAACAACATTGTTTTAATTAGAGTTATTCTTGTTGGCGAATCAGCTAATAGTTGCAAATGGAGTCACCCTTGATCTTTACTGCCCGGTGGCCAGTTAATCTAACAAAAGTTAGATTACTTAAAGTCGGGTCTCCATCAAGCAAAAATGG